TATGGATGCAGCGCTGTTCATATCAACTGCACTTGCCGATGATCTGGCTAATGAATTTAAAAATTTCAATACTACCGCTTCCGAATGTAATGGTTAGTTATAGAATGATTTGGGGAGCTGGTAGGATTTTATATTTCTTTAGTTTGCTGTCCAGACAAACGTACTTCAAATGCATGGGACATCTATTAATTCATAGTCTGGGTTTCCAGCTATGCATTTTGCAACTTTTCCAGTTGCTTTGACCAGTGCTGCATTGTCTTGGTTAGTTCAGTGGCGATCCTAACAGTCGTTTCATCTCTTGGAAGAACGCGAGCTGAACGATTTCCTGGCAAAAGTACCGGACAGACTCAAAAGAAAAACTTATTGGAAAAAATATTTTGTCAACTAAAGTGAACGTAATGATCGCCAACTCCCCTGTACTGGCAGTTAACAGTGCAGACAGATTACCACTCAAACAGCTGAATAGGCATCTACCTTTGAAAAATTTCAGTACTACCGCTATGGAATGTAATAATTAATGGTAGCATTGTTGATTGTTGCGATGAGTACCAAGATACTGGTGTCTTTGTCGGTCCAAGTAGAGAGGGGCTCCCGGACATAAGCGGTGTTGACATAGGTTTTGCCCGTGCCAGCTGGAGCTTGCTGGAATGTAATGGGGACAACCAGATGGACGCCTGGTTAATTACTTGGGCATCCATGTTTCTGTTTGGCGCCTGGATAGATGCATTTTGTCTATTAAGACGTAGTCAGAGCAAAGACTCAAAATCACCACTGCATTCAGTCAACTTTACGAAAAAGCGGAAACACTCGGTGATAGCAAATACAAACATCCATTCGTCAGTGTAGCTGTCGATGACTTCCTCTTTAGAGGGTTGCCCACTGAGTCCTGGTGTATGCTGCTAAACCTTCGTTGTATTTCTTTCAGAAAATAATCCAACGGATGCGCATGTTCTGATGAATCTGCCGGGTATGTCATTGCAGTTTCTTCCGCATTTTCGTGGATGCCTTCACAACAAAGGTATTTCATCAGGTCAGTAATGCTTAGAAGAGTTTATTTTTTTTTTTTTTTGTCTGGTCTTGAGAGCCAACGATATATCATTGAAGCGAATGAACAGGGCATAGACAGATTGATTCGCTCGTTGACTAATTTAGTCCATTAATGAGTGAAAAAAATAATGATAATTTTTTCCTGAAAATTTTGTTCTTTTCAGACTCACTTCAGTTCCCACTGTACGTTCATTGTCACTTTTTTGTGAAGGCTCCTGAAGATGTTGAAGACAACTGGTACAAGGAGGAGGCTCGAAATTTGGTGCGCGCAAGTCTTGGGTAATTCGTAGATTCATTTATAAAATCTTTATATTCGCATAATTTTGTAATTGTCACGTAAGTTTGTATGTGTACGCTTTATCATACCAAGAATATTGAGACCGCCTTGAGTTGCATTTGCAGTCAGAACCTACCGCCTGTTGTTTTATATTTCATAGGATTTTGAAATTTATTTGTGTTTAATTAGTGGCGTATACGGTCTCAGGCTTGCAAAAAAGTTTTGCATGCGTTTTGATGTGTGGCAGCTGTGCAAAATGCATGTTGGGACGCTTCTATGCGTATATGTGTTTTGTATTAGGTTTTCAGATCGGCATCCACAAAAGCAAGGAAGCTGAAATTTTAGGAGAATGCTCCTCATCCGTGTATGACTTCGCAGATTTAAATTCAGCCTTCACATTTGCCTGGGCTTCACGTACGGCCCCGCGAAAGTTTTGGCTGCAAAAATTACTCTCTCGGGAAACACAAAAGCTGAGGAACTGTAATTTTTGGAGAATGTTCCCTGCCTACGTGCGACTCTGTAAATTCAAATTCAGCTTTGACGTACGCTTTGTTCCCACGCCCAGCCCCATGAAAATTTTGATGGGGAAAAAATTATTGTCTCGGCAACCATAAGAGCTAGAAAGCTGAAATTTTGGGAGAATATTTCGTGCCCATGCCGCGGCTTGCGGCCCCTTAAATTCAAATTTAGCTTTCACATATGTTTAGGTCTTGCATACGGCTCTGTGAAAGTTTTTGTGGAGAAATTATCATCTCGGGAACCAAAAGAGCTAGGAAGCTAAAATTTCAAGAGAATGTTTTCTGCGTATGAAAGGGCCTCACAAACTCAAATTCAGCTCTCACGTATGTCCAGGTCTTACGTAAGAGCAAGTGAGGGTTTCAGCACGAAATTTACTAACTTGGAAGCTAGGGGACTAGGAAGCTGAAGTTTTGGAACAATGTTCTCCGTCGTGTGCAATCCAAAGATTTCAAAATTCAGCATTCACATATGCTTACGTCTTACGCACTGGCACGTGAAATTTTCAGTGGGAATTCTCGCAGCTTAGGGACCAAATTACATACGGCTATCCTCGCACACATTAAATTGTTAAACAGTGAAAATTCTCAGCAGCAAGCGTCCGCTGAACGAAACTGTGCAAAATACATGATCGCACCGGTGCACTGATGCGCGCCACTATTTATTTTTATTTGAATTAACATGTGGTAGGTAACGAACTGAAAATGCGCAGCTTTGGGACAAAAGGCCTGGCATAGTTGCATTCCGGCGTGTGGGAGCATTCCAGTAACATCACTGACGTGGGACACCCGAATCACCTGCTTGAAATTGCTGAATTTAATGTTTTTCTGACGCTTTCTCTTATTTTTGCACGTAGTTACATTTTCCTACTATTTAATTTGGCGTTCTCTCATTTTTTTTTAGTGCAGTTGAGTACGTCCATACTGATTCCACTGCAATTTGGGCTAAATTTTACGCTTTTTCTGGTGAAATTTCATATTTCAGATCACGTTTTCTTTTCATCGCTTCTTGTTTCCTGCTTACTGCAACTTTTTGCTGTGCTTTTAGCATCATGGAATTGGATTTCGTTG